CTGATGCCCTCTTCTGACTTCCATGGGCACTGCACAACATGGATCTAATGCACATGCAGGCAGGCAATACACTCATATATATAAAATAAAAATAAGTAAAATATTTTTTTAAAGCTCAGAAAATAGCTCAAAAGCTTCAGAAAGTTTCTGAAAGTGACTGGGTGTACTAGGCCCCTTCCTCGCCAAACATATAAGCAGTAAGGACAGCCGAGAGACACCAGACTGTCTGAGCTGCCTGGAAGAGATTCTCCAACCTGCTGAGCTGCCTGCAAATTGTGTGGGTCTCTCCAGGTTTCCAGCTTGTGAGCTGTCACCCATGCTGGGCTGGACTTTCAGTGATGTCTGTGATTAACCCCTCACCCATGTTCCTGTAAATCACCCCAATAAAACTCATTCCTTCACCAAGTTAGACTTTGGTGGTGTCCTTACTTTGGTCTGTTGTTGATTTCCTATCTGGGGTGAATGTGTTGTTCACAACTCCCCAGGAATAGTGCCACACAAAATCTCCTGCAGGGGGTGTCTCTGAGGGGCAGGGCCCCTCCCTCTCCAAACATATAAGCATGACTTCCCACTAGCCCCAGACTCCCCCCACACTCAAGGATTGTATGGTTCTGGAGAGGGCCTCCATCTTTTCAGACCCTGCCAGGAGTGGGGATGAGGTTAGGTCTAGGAGCACCAGAGAGGCTACCCAGTGGAATCACACAGTCAGGAAGCTGGGGCTAGGTGCCTGCAGGCTATAGGCCAGAGGATAGAGCTTGTCTGAGAGCCTTGGCTGCCCTCAGCTCTGCTGTGGCAATCTGACAGTTTCAGATGCTGTTATACACAATGGCAAGCCTGGGGTGACTGGAATGTTGGCTGTCCCCCTCCTCCCACTTGCCCAGAGTCTGTACACATCCCACTCCACTGCCTTGATTGTTACATAAATATTTCATTCAAATTAAAACATTAGAGGAGGGATTAAAACATCTAGACTCAAGGTATAAGGCCCTTCAGGAAATAAATAAAACTCTAAAGTCTCAGAAGGCCCCATAAACTTACAGGATTCATAAAGCCCCCTCCCCAAGTGTACAACCACAGTCACAATTACTGGAGACAGGAGATTCTGATTTGCTGAACTGCAGCAAGAAAAACAGGGGGCTTCAGGGATTCAGCTTTTATGAGTTGTGCACCGGCTGCAGTGGGCTTTTCAGGGATCCCAGATGCCTTTGAGTCACCCATGCTCCTGCAAGTAACCCCTAACCCATGCTTCTGTAAGTACCCACAGTAAACTCACTGGTTCACTAGACTTAGGAGTGTGTCTTTGGCCTGCCATCGGTGCCAGATCTGGGGTGAATAAATGCTTGTTCGTGTCTCCCCAGGAAAAGTCACACAGTGGTTGTCCTTTCTACTGGTCCTGGTTGTGGGAAGCCCTCCCTGACCCAGCAGGTGGCACTGACTCCTCCCTCCACCTTGGGGCCCAGGTGGCTGCATCTGGGGCTTCCTGGTTTCCCTGGAGGGACCACATTCCTCCTTGCCTCCAGGAAGGGCTTTGAAAAACCCCTTCCCGTCCACTAGGTGGCTGTCGTGATCTCCGTGACTAGGATTCCTAGCCTGATGTGGGACATTTAGGAGTCACTTCTCGGCTCCCAAATTCAATTTCTACTCATGGAAATGGCCTAGGTCTGCTGCCTGGGCTCTCCAACCCTCTTCTCTACCTGACTCCCACATGCAGGTGGCTTTCGGGCCTGGGGCGCCTCAGGACACCTGCGGAGAGGAGGCAGAGAGTGTTGCACGTGGAGTGTACAATTATTTCCTGACAGGTGCCTTTGGCTGCCTGGCTCTGTTGGCCACCAGGGGGCATGCTGGCACCAGACCTGACCTGACATTCCAGGACCAGAAACCCTGAGAAGGAGGGGCACTGGGTGGAGAGCATGGCTTGATTTCTAGGGCCTGAAGGGGAGGCACGGCTCTTCTTGGCCTTTCTTTCCACCTCTCTTGCTCACAGTGGGAGGATGCTCTACAGACTCCGGGAGACAGGGTCAGGGGCTCTGCAACAGACCAGCTCCCATACAGGCAGTAGTGGCTGGGTGTGGTTCTGGGAGTCTGTGAAGGAAACCCAGGCTCCAGGAAGTTCAGCACCCTGCTCACGGTGAGGACTTGGAGTGGACTCACTGGATGGAGGCAGCAGGGCTCACCCCAGACCAAGACTGGTTGGCAGTGCCTTGGCCTGGAGTTGGGGCTCTACGTGGGTCACAGGTGCCCAGATTACATTCTGCCTCCCACCACTCAATCTTGGGGGCAGGGCGGTGAGGGTGCTCAAGGTTCAGTGTGTAGGTGCATGAAGGAAAGAGGGAAGAAGCTGGAACTCCTCACCATAGCCATCCCATCACCATCTGCAAGGGGCAGGGTTTCCAGGCAGGCCTGCCAGAATGCTAACCCTGTGCCCACCCACCCCTTGGACCTGCAGGGGAATGGTTGCAAGGGAATGGGCTAGCCTGCTCCCCAGCAGGGAGGGCTGCAGGCTTGGGCATCTGCTGAGTACCTTTCTCTCATTAACCTCATAGCCTCATACTCAGGAAACTGCTCAGGCTGAGGCAGTGGGCAGGAGCCCAGGCAGCGGCAGGAAACCAGTGGATGAGAAACCCAGCAGGGAGCCTGGACGCAGGGTCTCTGGGGCTGTGCTGTGCTTGGGCTCCTGCTAGCCTGTGGGCATCTCGCCAGCTTATGCTGAGTTACACCTCCCAATGTGCACACCTGGATGAGCTCCAGCTGGGGCACTACTGGGCTCCTAAGTCCAGACAGCTGGACTTACCTTGGGCCTTAGCCATGAGCAGTGAGTGCCCTCATAGCTCCAAGACTGGGAGAGGGAGGATCCTCTCAACAGTGGGAACCAGAATCTCAAGGGTAAGGCCTGGGCAAAGTGTCCCTCCTTCTCACATTGGACTTAGGGAAAATCTGCACCTCCCATGATAGGGATGCCTTAAAGGCTGGGTGCCGCTGCATGTTGCCAAAACTAGCCCAGGGTAACAAGTGCTGGATGTTTGAGAGATGCCTGCCCCACACACTCCACTGCACACAGTCATAATGTTTTTAAAATCATTTATTTCATGTAGGGGTTCTAGTAGAAAAATATATGGAACAAATCCAAAATCAGAGAGGATGGAGTCCTGTCTGTCGCCCATCTTCCATACTGGGCAGCAGGTTACCTCCTCCTGTCCCGCAGCAGGCACCGCACCGTATCAGCTCTCAGTGCCCTCCAGGACCCAGACCCAGCCTTCAGAGGCAGCCCCCAGCCTCAGCATGTGGCACCTCCATCATGGTCAGGGAGGGGACCACGAGGAACCAGGGAAGGCACGAGGGTAATTACGAAGGGGGTGTCACAGGCCGGGGACAACAGCAAGAAGGCCCAGGGTCAGTGCCAGGCCCAGGGGGGCAATGCTGAGCAGGGCATGTGGAGGGGCAGCACTGTTCAACCTCTCATTGCACAGGTCACCCTGACAGCACTGTGTGAACCCCGAACCACTGCTGACCTGGCCCTGCTGGCTGTAATCAGGTGTGCAGGAGTCCGCACAGTCTTTCTTCACCAGGTTCCCAGTCAGAGGCTCCACTGTACATGGGAGAGAGGGAGAGGGCATCAGGCCTGATTTACCATACACCCCAGCTCCCACGCAGCAACCTCCACTACACCCCCGTACCCCACCATCACCACTTCCCAGGGTTGGTCTCCTCCATTGGCACTTACCCGTGGTCACACTTCTGCAATAGCGGGAACTGGGGGGGCAGGTCTGAGGTTGCTTGCAGTTGGTAGCACTGCTGCATACGTGACAACGCAGTGCCCAGGCTGGAGGGTGGGGCAGAGGGTCAGTCAAACAAAGGCCTAGCCAGGACACAGCCTTCCGTCACCCTGCCCGAGGAAGACCCTCTCCCCTCAGCCCTAGAACTCTACAAGGCTCATGCCTTTGCTCAGCTCAGGGGATCTCTGCATGGCCCCTGGAGCCCTGGAGGAGGGTCTGTGATAGACTACCTCTCAGGGAGAGGAGAGAAAGAAGGAACACAGTTGCCCTCATCCTAACGTTGTACGTTCCTGAGGAGCCTGGAGAAGGGGCTTGGCCACTCCCGGACTGCTCAGGACCGATGTGGGGCGCAGGTGGCAGCCTGAGAAGCCAATTAAGCCAGGTCTGGCTCTACTCTCTCTCAGAATACCCATGATTCCATAGGTCAATGCTAAAATCCCCTAATTCTGAAATATTGCAAACCTTTGATTCTGGTGAGTTAAGACCTAAGTTCATTTTCTTTTTTAAATTTCAAGAGGTCATCCCATAACATCAGTGTTCTCTGAGGGTAAATTCCAGCTGCTAGCATTTGGTGACGTCCTGTTGGGCCCGGCCTGCCTAGGACTGAGAGTCCAACACATAGAACTAAGCTACCGACCCCTGCCCAGCCCCTAGGCCCAGCTTCTCACCTGGGCTGGTGACCGCAGCCAGGGCAACGAGTAGGAGCAGAATCGTCTTCATCTCAAGCGTTGTCTGGAAGAATGGGGGCCCTTCCTCTCTCCAGGCCTTATAGCTGGTAGGGGAGCTGTGGGAGGGGTGGGGCGGGCCAGACAATAGCATGCAAGTCGAGGTCCACCCCGCCCTTCCTGGCCCACACCCAGCAGCACATGCCTGGCTCCTGCCAGCTGGAGGGTCTGAGGCTTCTGCCCTCCTCACCTCTGGGTTCCCTGAGCAGGGCTGGCTGTGCGGAAGGGCCTCCTAGTCTGTCCTGGCTCCCGTTCCTGACCCAGCCTCTGCTGAGTCTCCAGCCTCTGTCACTCGCTGCCGGTCTCAGTCACAATGTCTCTGAACTTCGTTCTGCCTGTCACTCTCCTTACTGCCCACTCGGGTAATTCCTTCAGTCACAGTCCGTGCTGGGTATCCTGAGGGGACCCACAAGTGGGGAGGCACAGGATCCCACCTTCCTCTGCTCTGGACTCAGTGTCGGGTTGACTCAGTGAAGGCTTGGAACAAATGGTCCTTCCTGAGGTGTGACGATGTTGGGGTGACTTGTGGGTCGCTGGGCAGGAGGGAAGGAAGCAGGGATCTGTGTGTATATGCAGGGTATAGTCAGGCCATGGATATGACTACCCCAGATCATGGGGTCTTTGCCATCCCAGTGAACTGGGTAGGGAGGGGCAGAGTACGATAGAGTCAATGTGGGAAAGGCAGGCTATGGAGGCCAGGACTCGGTGCTCACTGCTGGGGAGACATGAGTTGTCCTTAACCCTATCACTTCCCTCATCTTCTTGGGCCTCAGACCCTATACCCATTGAGGGTCTCCCTACCCCCAGGAGTATGATAACACTGTAGTTCTCCTGCCTTATAATCATGGCTCTGTCACTGTCTTGCTCCTCCGTGGTTGAGAGTGCCTCAGGCTAGCCCCAGAACCTAGGGCCCAAACAGGCGCTGAGTCTGATCTCTGTTGGGGCAGGCTAAGCCCTACTTCTGCTCTTTGTACACATAGGAGACTTTCTGCTATGACACCAGTTTGTACAGGAAAAGCAGCTGCTGGTTTTATCTGGAGGCATTGAGGGTGGGCCCTGAAGAGTCCTCCTCCTGCCCTGTCTTGGAGGATCAGGCTGTCAGCAATGGGCTAGGCATAGAGATCAGGCCTGGGTTTGTCCCACTAGCATGTCTGCAAAGCACACGTATGACGCTGTATAGACAAGCAGCAACAGAGATGGTCATGTCAGGGCCTGTTTCAGGGAGGGTGAGCCTGGGCCAGGCTGGGGCTCTAGGAGTCCTGTGGGCTTTGGGTCAGTCAGATCTGGGCTCAAGATCCCTGGGCCCTCCTCCCTGTCTGCCCTTAGGCTATCTGGTTCCTGTGATCGGTCAAGTGGGGTAAAGCCATAGCCACTTGCTGGGGGTCAGAGGATACATTGCCTGGGAACTGCTGTGCGGTTTTCCCTGAAGTAGTTTCTGGACTTGGCAGGACCTGTCTAAAAGTGGAGGGATCGTGTGGTAGTACCTTCAGGGATCCAGGAGGGGCATGGATAGAAGCCCTTGAGGCAGCCCCCACCTCTTTGTCCCAAGCTGCCTCTGTAGTGCCTAGCTCCCCAGGATTTGCTTAGGATAGCTGGGATGTCACAGGACAAGCCTGAAACTTGGGATCCATGCCTCCATGGAAAGTACCGCTCAGCTCCAGGGTCTCCCTGCCACCATGAGGCACAGAGGGGCATGAGTGGGAAGAGGGAGGGAGCCTTGGGAACGGAACTCAGCGCCGATCCATAGGGTGTTGACAGTGGAGTTGGCAGGTGGGTAAAGGTGACTCACTGGGAAAGAGGGAGGCTACTGAAGAATTGGGTTTGGGGTTTCTCCTGGGTTCAGTATAGCTGGAAGGTCTGGTGGATGATGGGCAGGAGTGGGGTCTAGGCTGGAGTCTGAGGGCAGTGTCAGCTGGCTCCATACTCACACCTGGGACAGAAGGAGGCCTCTGCATGCTGGGTTGTCCATAGGGGCCTCAGGTTTCATGATGGTTGTGGATCCTGCAGCTGAGGTCCATACCCGCAATAGCAGGGTCTTTTCTCCTGGCCGAGCCGCTGGGAAGGTGTGGACTGCCTCTTCCCAGCTGGGTCTCAACAGAAGCGTGAAACAGTCACATATTAAGTTTACCTATAGGAGAGAGTGTGACTCCATTAGGAACTTTTGGAGGCCTGGGGCCTTTGGGGGCAGTCAGGGAGGGTCTCATTGGAGGTAGTGAGGCTGGGACTTAGAGTCAGTTCAGGATAGAATGAGCACAGGAGCCATCACGTCCCTTATATCCGCCTTTCTCACCTTCCTAGGAGGACAGATGCCTATTTCAGAGTATGGGTCCCTCTAGCCCTTGTCCACAGCCCCTGAGGCTATGGCTGAGACTTAATTTGTACCCTCGAGATGCTGGCAGCAGAATGGTGCCCAGGAGGTGCCATGAAGGGGCACGGGGCCCTCAGGCCTGCCCGTTCTGTGACCCCAGCAAGCTAGTCAGGAAGTTAAGGGACAAGCCCGGACCTCTGTCTGGAGCAGAGGTTTCCCTGTTCACCAACATTCCCCTTGCATTCACATGTATGCCACAAAGATCACAGGTGCAAGTGACCCAGAGGGGAGGCACTTGGGGCAGGGCAGGCATAGCATAACACCCCAGGCCTTCTGAAAGTGCAGCCTGGGGCCCTTTCCTAGCCTGAGGAGGGCACCCATAGACAGATCAGACCCCTAGGCTGAAGGTATATAAACACCTTGGAGTACAAGGCACCCCAGAGACCCCAGGTGCCATTCTATACCTCAAAGGCACTAAACACACTCATTTCACAACACTTTATAAGGACCTACTATGTACTTCCACCGCTATAAGGGGGACTGGGGAGATGAGAGGCAGGACCCAGACCTGGGCCACCAGACTAGGTAAGGAGAAGGATTGCTCTGTGTGCATGATTGTGACAGTTGGGGAGGCTGGGGTGTTGTAGGAGGACCAACCTAGGTAGAGATGTCTAAGCTGGGACCTGAGGGTAGATGGCTATCAGCTGCTGAAGAGAGCACCAGACCAAGGCCTGGAAGCTCGGCTCCAGGTCCCATGCCACACCTTTGTTCTGTCTCTTTTCCTGCAAGGCCTTGTAAATGCCCCATGAGTCAGGCAACGGAGAGAGGAGAGGAGTGTTTCCTTGGGGCCCGTTCTGTCCTTAGTCACATAGGTAGGGCTTCAGATGACACAGAGAAGGGCAGGGCTTTGGTTAGTATCATCCAGGAAGAGCCAGAGCTGGGCCTGGCTTCTGGACTCTTCCTCCACATCCTTCTCTCCAAATACAAGAGTCACTTCACACATGGAGCCACAACCTTAGACACCTGGCATCGCCTACCACCTCTGAAATTATTCACTGGGACCCTGGGCACTAGCAGCACGGTTCCCCAATGTTCAGTTCACTCATCCACCATCCATTCATGTGTCCACGGACTCATTCATTCACCCATCCACTTGTCCATCACCTGTTCATTACCCATCAGTAAATCATGTATGCATCCCTGTCCATCCACTCACCATCTATCCATCCATCCATCTATCCCTCATTATCCATCCTTCATCCTCTATCCATTCACTCAACCATCCTTCAATCAGTCCAGTCCATCCATCTATAGATCCATCACCCATTTATTTTTTTTAATATTTTCTTGATTTTTTAAAAATTTTATGTGTATGAGGCAATATACACATGTATTGCCTACATGTGTGTAAGTGCACCTATGTCATGCAATGCCCCTGGAGGTCAGAAGAGGGTGTTGAATCCCCTGGAACTGGAGTTAGCCACCATGTAGGTGCTCAACATTGAACCCAGGTCCTCTGCAAGAGCAGTCAGTGCTCTTAACTGCTGAGTCTATTTATTTATTGTCACTGGGCGTGGTGGTGCACGCCTTTAATCCCAGCACTAGGGAGGCAGAGGCAGGCGGATCTCTGAGTTCAAGGGCAGTCTGGTGTACATAGTGAGTTCCAGGTAAGCTGGGGCTACAGGGAGACCCTGTCTCAAAAAGACCAAAAAAATTTATTATTTATTTATCTGTCCCCTGTTATCCACTCACCCATCCATCCACCCATCCATCTGTCCTCCATCCATTTTCTGTATATCCACTTATCTTCCCATCCATCCATCCTTTCATCATCCATCAACATATCCATCCTTCCTATACCCATTCATCAACCTACCCATCTGTCCATGCATGATTTGCAGAGCCTCAGCTACGGTCATGTCACCATGCTGGATAACACACAGGAATGGGTTGAGAAAAAGGCACATTCCTGCCACCACAGAGCTCACATTTTTGGGGTGCCATTCAGTAAAGGCAAGAAACTGCATTTTGGGTTGGATTGCCTGGTCCAGGAAGAGCCAGATTTTGCCAATGGGGAGAGACTCAGGATGAGCTCAGCTGAGGCATTAGTAACATGATACCTCCCTCAGTTGTAAGGAAACCCCCAGGATGGTGAGTGCATCAACGACTCCCTTCTAGTTTCCCACCTGAGCCCCACGTCAGGATGAGTTTTTGACTCTTCTATGACATTCCTGGAGCTGAGGGAGGAGTTCCTACCTCACTTATGGGCCCCTCCTCTGTGAGTCAGTGCAGACTTCCAGTGGAATCCTAGAAGGACCCTGGACATGAGGCTCTGGGACTTTTGACACAGGCTTCAGACAGGCACCTAGGATCACTTGAGGACTGGGAGAGGACTTGGGAAGAACAGCCTCCATCCTACCCCTTAGAGGAAAAGGAATGCCTTGCTATACTGCTGCCTTATCAGCCTGTCATCAGCATTGTCCTCCAAGCAGATGAACTGTCCTCTTGTGACACGGCCCGGGCTGAAGACTGGGCTCTGCTCCTTCACCCCCATGTGGTTGAAGCTGGATCAGCAAGCTCAGCATGGTGGCCTCAAGGACCCCGTTTTGGTGCTGGATCCAGAGTAAGGGTGTGGTGCTCCGGAGGACTTTGCGTGCTGCTGCAGTTTTCTCTGGGTGTGGGGACAGCCCCAGGGCAGGGAGGAGGGTCCCAAGCAGGCCCCGCCAGGAAGCTCAGTGTCTTAATCCTAAGAATTTAAGGGATCAAAAGGCATGTCACCTGCACCCAGAGTTACATGAGAGGGAGGAATGGGCAGGACCTTGGAGGTACAGAGATGCTGGCGCCCAGAATAGAGGACACTGTACAGGAGACCAGGTCAGATGACTGGCGAGAAGGCACAAAGGACACAGACAGCACCACCTTCATTCCAGAATTCTCCACTGGCTGTCACAATGTGTCTAACCCCAGGGTTGACCGGGTCACAATGTGTCTAACCCCAGGGTTGACCTTCCGGTCCTGGCACCACAAGCTCTGGCAGCTTTCCCCACCCAACTTCCCTTGAGCATTTGGGGAGCTGTCGTCCCAACCTGCTAATAGTACCACTCCCCTGTGTGCCCTAACTTCTTCTACTTACACCCTCCACAGGCCCTGGGGCCCCTTCCCAGCTGCACTGGAGGGCTGGGCTATGACCTAGACCCATCTCTCTCCCACTTCTTTCTCAGCTGTGGCTCTGACCCTAGACAAGGTAGATGAAGTCCCTCCCCTGCTGACCTGGTGCTCTTAGGGTCAAGCCAGCCTCCCTGCTCTGTGTAGGTGTTTTGCCTAGCTGGCTGCCCACTGCCCACTGCCTCTGTCCAGGGGCTCTATCTTTGTCCCTCCAGGTCCCTCCAGACCTTGTTTGCTCTGTGTCTCTATGGGTGGGGAGCCCTGGGGCTTCCCCACAACAGCTTCTCTCCTGGAAAGTCTGTGGTAACTGTGAGAGTCAAACATTTCAGGAAGCCTGCCTGCAAGAGGCTCCCAGAGTCTGTAGGAGGCTCTCCAAATGTGCTGTCTCCAGACCTGTGGGGGCCCTGGAGAGTCGAAAGAGCGCAGGCTGCCTACACCATCCACCACCCCAGGAGCCATGAAGTTGGCTGGGGGATACTGGAAAGTTTTGTGCACAACTTCCTCCTCTGAGACCAGGAAGGGCTCCCAGTTTGGTGGCCACCTGCCACCCGACCCTCTATGACTTTTGAAAGCAGAGCCCTGGGAGGAGACTCTGGCAGCCGGCAGCAGCTGGTGTGGTCTTCCCCTTTGTACTCCTTTGTACTTTCTGGGTGGGGACTGGCTACCCTGAGGGGTGAGACCCATCCCAACAAGCTGTGGAAAAGCTGGTCAGACAGGCCAGGGCCCCATCATCATGCCAAAGGCAAAACAAAACAAAAACCTTAACTGTGCTCCTAGATGGATGCCCCTCATGACCACGGACCCCCAGATCTCAGAGCAGCAGGTCAGCCACTCTGGGAGGGCGTACTAAAGGCACAAGAGCCAAGGAACACCCAGCTTCCGGGGGGCCTCACTCAGCACCCTCAGCCCTCCTGTATTTTGTCTTCTGCTGCTGCAGGCATGTGGTAAGGTGGGAGCCCTGCCCACTTCCAGAGCCTGCCGCTCCCAAGGCCCAGGAGCTAGGGTTTTAAAAGGTTCCCCAGGGCACTGCTTTGATTTGGGCAGTCTTTGGGGGACTTGAGTCTGGGTGCTAAGGAGCCGTGACCCTGTGAAGCTGGGATGTGGGAAGATACACAGGGAGGTGGAACGGAGCAGGCAGGAGATGGGAACAGGGCTGTGCACCTGGATTCTACCAGTGGAGGTAACACCATGTTGGAAGGCTCTGGGCCAGGCTTGGGCAGCAGCAGATGGCTTGCTAGGCAGGCAGGAGGATGCTACCTCGCCTCTGCACTGGATGTTTGTTTTTGTCGCCTGGGAAAGAATGTGAAGGGCAATTTTTTTTTGCACCAGGCAAGTGCTGCCCCCCTGAGCTATGTCTCCAGTTGTGGACGTGAGGGGAAGAAGTAGGGGCAGGAAAGACACATCTTCCAGTCTCTGCGCTCCAAAATGGCAGAAGAGCAGGGCAGAGACCCAGCACAGGGTGGGTAGACCAGGCAAGTCCCACAGCCCTGGGGACAGGGAAACCAGGGGTTCAGGCTTCTGAAGACTGGCCCCATGCAGGGTGGGCTCCAGAGCACCAGCCTCGTGCAGTTGAGCCCTGCACAGGTGTGATATAATTATCAACTTGAAAGAATCTGGAATCACCTGGGAGACGGGCTTCTGGGTATGTCTGTGCGAGCTTATTTTGATTGCATGACTTGAGGTAGGAAGGCCCTCGGAGCGGGGCTCCTGGACTGTAAGTGGAGAATGGGAACTGAGCAGCAGCACACTCTGCTCTCTGCTTGAGTCAAAAGAAACTTTATCCATTCAGGTGCCTCCATCAGGATATTTATCACAGCAACAGGATAAGAACCAAGACAGCAGAGGTATGGAGCCAAGCTCCTCCAGCATCCAGAGGCTCTGGCTTTTACCCCCAAGAAGACCCCTGGAGGAGACACAGCCTCAGGGAGTCTCAGAGTCTTGGTGCTTGTCCAAAAGGGCAAGCGTGTCATGTGCCCCCAACCAGACGTGTGGCTGTGGGGACTTGGGGGCACCTGTGCAGGATGTGGACATCTTGAGGTGGCAGAGATGGGACACCACAGCTCAGAAGAGCTCTCAGGAGATCCCTGTGAGTCCTGTACTTGGGGCTGGGGTCTGGTGGAAGTGTTTCTTCCATTTTAGCCAAGGAGACTCAGTGTAGACATGGGAGGCCTGGGTCCAAGGCAGAGGTACCACTCCTACACCTGAGTTTGTGCATCAAGAATTCCACCTGACCCTCTCTCAAGTGTCTTTATCTGCCTCAGGGGCTGAGGCTGACCAAGGACTAGAAAGCCCTGGACCCCAAATCTCAGACTGAGCAGATGTGCAACTTTATTCCTCTCTCCAGACAGTGTGTGGGGTGGGCTGGCAGATGGTGTTTCTAGGGAGACAGAGCAATTCCCCCATGCCCAGAAAGGATGGACCCCCCATTTCAATGCCTGACACCAAGCCCCAAGGTGACCTGCCTCAACCCCCAAAATCAGTAGGCAGGGGATATTTAAAAAGCTTGTGTTCACTTGGATTGGGGCTAGCAGGGAGTTCCTGGGCTGGAGACACTGGCTAAAAGATGGAGCCTTGGGAAGACCCCAGCAGGCAGGTCTATGATGAGTCAGTGAAAATGGGTGGATGATGGGTGGGTTGGTGATTGGATGAGTAGATGGATGCATGCATGATGGGTGGGTAATTAGATGGATGAGTGGATGGATAGATGAATAAATGAGAGGGTGGGTGAATAGCAGATGGATAGATGAGTGGATGGATGGATGGGTGGATGGATAGATGAGTGATCGAGTGGATGGATGATGGGTGGCTGTATAGATGAGTAGGTCGATGGGTGAAGAGTAGTGGTGGCCATGGACTGCAGAGCCAGAGGATCAGGGGCCAAACCTTACAGCTGTGTCTCTATGCCAGGACTACTCTGCATGGAAGAGGCCCAAGAGCCAGATGACCATGTATGTAGGGTCTTGTCAGGTCTGGCTTAAAGCAGGGGTAAAGTGGGGTTAGAAACTCTAAGCCTGAGAAGCTGCCTGCACCCCCTGAAATGAGGACTGAAGGAAGGCACGGGGAGTAGGAACTCTTCCCACTCAGGATGGCTAGATGCTCCCAGGACTCAGATAAGGGCTGGGGCCTCCTGGAATTGTGGGTCTTGGGGAGGCATGTCCCTGTTGGAGGATTCCCTGAGGCAGAAGAGAGCTGCCCTCTGGGGTAGGAGTCTGTGGGGCCATTGGTCCTTGCTCTCTGTGGGAGGAGGACTGTGTCCTGGGAAAAGCAGGGAGGGAGAATGACAGCCGGGGCTGGGTGGGGTTAGGATGTTGCTGAGGCTGCAAACAGACCCCTGCTGACAGAAACAGGCCACCCAGACCCTCACCAGGTGGCCCGGAGCAGTGCCCACAGCAGGCTGACGGAGACACTGGCCCATAGGGCCCCAAGGCTGCTGGTCAGGCCTGAGGCAGCGCTGGGGTTGCACTGACTGCCCTGGCAGCAGGAGACGGAGAGGGTGCGGCCATCTGCGGACACAGTGCTGTTGGGGCAGGTCGGAGCACAGGACTTCATGACCAGGATGCCACCAGTGTTAGCTGTGGAGACAAGAGGAATGGCCATGGGTACTGTGGCCACAGGCCCCACAACTGCACTCAGCCAGCTCTCAGGGGACCTGCAACCTGGGGCCACATTTGAGGAGGGGTCCTGGGACTTTGAGTGACTTTGAGGTGACAGCTTGGAGGCACCCCTAAGAGCCTTGTGGGTAGGGGTCCTTCCTCAGTGCCTGTGGGGACATGTCTTCCTCATGATGGGCTGTTTCAGCTGGGCCCAGGACGTGACTTGATGGTCCTTTTCTCTCCCAGTCCCTGGGTTCCCCAATTCCCTCAACTAACCCTTTCCTAGGAGACAGCTGGTTATTCTCCCGTCCTGTCCTCTCTTTTTCCTCCCTACTTCTCCCTTCTCTTCTCCTCTGGTGTTCGAGGACCTCATCCAGCCTGAGATGGATCCCAGTGACTGTTACACCCCATAGCCTATACAGCTGCCTCAAGGTCTCACATCCAATGAGGGAAACAGAGGCGTGGCTTGCCAGGGCCCCTGGGGAGGGAGAGGATGATGGGGCTGAGGGAGTCTCAGGAACTTCCAGTGCTACTGCTCAAGACTTGCTCTGTGTCCACAGGCACATCAAGTCTCCTGAGAAGAGGGCGCAGTTTGCTGAGAACACACAGCCCTCAGGGAAGGTAAGCCTCCTCTTTTAGCTTGTTACAGTTTCAAAGACCCTGGCTCTGTGGCCTCTCATCTGCAGTTGACCCAGAAACCATGTGATGGCCATGAGACAACTCCATCTCTAGATGCCTGATCTTTCTATGCCTCAGTTTCCCATCAGTTTTCTGGCCATGGCAAAGTGGGGTCAGAGTAGATTGCAGCCGCTCCTATACAAAAGAAAACCCAAGGCCACCGGCAGGAATCCTCCTGCAGGCACTGCGTGAGGCTGTGGACCCAGCCTCCTCCTGGGGCTAGAAGGACCCTAGACAATGGCATTTTGTTACATCTTACAGTACTTGCCAATTCTACAGAAAGGAGCTTTGCTGTTCCAGGTAAGGCAGAAGAGAGGCAGAGTCGGTTGTGTGAGAAATTGCTGGAGACTTGGACACCATAGTCCTTTCACCAGCCCAGGGTTCAGAGAGAGAAGGTCCTGCCTCTGATAATCCCTCTGTCTTCCCTCCCTGGGAACCTGTCTGCTCTAGACCGAAATGACCCTAAGTATCTCAGTGACTCACTTCTAGCAGACTCTCGGGGAAATGGAGAGACAGACTACAGGACAGAGAGACACATACTCAGCAAGCAGCAAATGGCAGGAGGAGCCCTGAGGACCTGAGAGAAACCCTGTCCGGATATGGAACTGTGGGGAGCTGGCAGTCCTGAGCATGCTGAGGATTACCAAGGGGAGCTGGCCCTCAGGTCCTCACTGGCCTCCAGCTTAGCTGTAGCGAGGCTCCTCTGCTTGGCTCTCTGCTGGTTTCTGGCCCTAAAGCAACTCCCAACCCTGCCAGGCAAGTTCCCACTTCCCAGTTCTTGACTTGCACCCTGGGCAGTGACTGGGCCAGCAGCCTACTAGGTGTTCACAGCACAACTGTGGGGGGTATGGATGAAGAGCAGCCTCTGGACAGGCCACTCCTCTGCAGGTGGGGAGGGTCCTGGAGGCAGTGGAGGGGTGTGTGCTGTTTCTGGCTGAGTGTCAGGAGGCCGGTCAGAGCGTGGGCAGGAGTGTCAATGTAGGGTCTGGGCTGTGTGCTGTGAAACTCAGCCTGGACACTGCCTCTTTGTAAAATGGGCATGGTTTCAAGTCTGAGCTACAAGGCCTTTGTCACCACAGGGGTTTGTAGGAAACTGTGGTCCAGTGGACAGCCCAGAGCCACACAGTGAAATCACCTGAAGCCCCTGCCCACTGCCTAGTGTGGGAGCTGGGGAGAACCTGCCCAGTGGTCACAACAGCTGCCGTTCACTGGGGCCTGAGGCCTCATGACCTAATTCCAATGGCAGCGGGGAGAGGAGGACCCCACACCCTTTGAAACCTAGAAGTGATGCTGTCCACCTGGGTCCCCAAAATGTGAAAGGCTGGTCTGCCTGTCTGTTACACCGTGCTTCCTTCTGGGGCCACTCGAGACCACACGATTCTCTGCACTCCAGTTACTCCAACACCAAGCCTAGACCCCATCAGTCACCATCGCAGCCCAACACACAAGCTCGAGGACCCAGCTCAGCCCCATTGATCCGGGGAGAATCAGATGTGGAGTGGGATATGGAGAGGAAAAGGCCAGGCCTGGGGAGTACAGGACAGAATTCTAAGGTCAGAGCAAGGTGCCCAGGGGCAAGAGGCTGTGGTCAGCTGATAGGAGACAGGGGCAAGAGGCTGTGGTCAGCTGATAGGAGACAGGGGCAAGAGGCTGTGGTCAGCTGATAGGAGACAGGGAGTCGCGTGAGCAGGAGAGGTTCAGAGAGGTCTGGAATACCAGGCTGTGGTTCTAGCATCTTCAACATGTCAACCTACATCCAATGGCTGCCCCTCGATCTTCAGTCCAGTTCAAACTGTAAACCAGAGGGCAGTGGTATCCCTAAGGGCTGGACCAGGGTGTGTGGGAGGGCACCAACAGTTTCTGATGTAGAGGTAGGGAAGAGGCCAAGGTGGGACCAGAGAGTGCTTGTGTGGTGCTGGTGGGGTAGGATGGGGCCTGCGTGGCCCAGGGTACTCACTGGCCCGAGTGATCACACAGTACTTGTCCGTCAAGGCGCACTCCACTAGAGACTCGCAGTTCTCGTGCCCGCAGCACACATGGCAGTGCAGGGCCCGGGCTGGGGGGAAGCACAGGCCATCAGTCTGGGCTGGGGCTGGGGACTAAGTGCCCAGTTGCCCGCCTAGTGGCCCATGAAGGTCACCTCTCTGATTTTCCTCTCCCCTCTAGGAGTGTCCTCAGTCCTCTGGAAGGGGCCGAGAAGCTACACGCTTCATAGTGGTGATTTTCATGTGCTTCTCCCTCTTTCCCCTCTGGCCTTGTGTGTGTCAGTACCAGAGTATCAGCATGAGTGACAGACAGGTGTGGGGTGTGAGGTGGGTAGGCTACCCTCAGGCTAGGCTCCCAGGCCTTCTGCCTACAACTTCCCTGGCACCTATGAACTCCCATACTTATCTGTCTCTCTGCCCAACATTTCACTCTCTGGAGAAGGGACTGGGAGCATTACAGAATATAGGAGAGCCACAGGAGCTAAACCAGGCAAAGACCAGATGGGTGGGTAGATGGGTGTACGAACGAATGGATGGATGGATATGTGGGTGGATGGATGTGTGGATGGATGGATGGATGGATGGATGGATGGATGGATGGATGATGGGTGGATTGATGGATGGGAAGATGTATGTATGTATGATTGGTTGGATGAGTGGATAAACAGATAAGTAGATGGATGGATGGGTAGATGGATGAACAGATGGATAGGTGGATAGTTGAATGGATACATAGGTAGATGAGTGGCTGGGCAGGTGTATAGATGGATGGGCATATGTGTAGCTGGATAGGTAGATATGTGAATGGAGGCACAGATAGATTCATGGCAGGTCTGGAGCAGCAGAAAGCAATATAAAGAGGGTTGATTTCAGAACTTCTAATTTTCACCGTCCCTTTCTCCTCCCTGTCTGATCCATAATGTCCTCATCTCTAAGGTGAACATAATAATGTTCTTGGCCTTCTCAGATGATGAAATGGGGAATGCACAATGCACAGATAATAATTGTCTCTTCCTTCTTCTGAAGAGGACTGCAGGGCTTCTAGGGCTGAGAGGAAGGCAGAGGTATCTGGTTTCCTAGCCAGGGCAGGCTGCCCCTAAGGCCTTTGTGCCCAGCAAGTTCTTAGAGCTGTTTAGTTGGAGGGAAAGATCAGCCTGGCCCTGCCCCACCTGCTGGAGGCCTGCTAGCGACCCCACTCCAGGTTGAAAGCAAAAGGCCCTTGTCCAAGCTGCCAGTGTGAGGCAGCTGGGCAGACCCTGTAGATGGGTGGCTCCAGGTGCTGTGTTGCTGGCTACAGCTTCCAGTCACAGAAACTTACAGGATGAACCGTAAGAGAACACAGGTTTCCTGGGCATGGCTGACTCATGGGCATCCATGCGTACAGAAGGTACAAAGGTCACTCCGCGGCAACTCTTGCTAAGAGGGAGCATGGTTTTGATGGAGTACAGGATAACCTGGAAGGCTTCTTGGAGTGAGTGTCACAGAGCTGAACCCATGTGGGTGGATTCCTCAGGGTGGTTGGGACACTTGCAGAGGGTGCAGAACCACAGAGATAAGAGCAGCTTGGAGGGATGCAAGGACTCCTCAGTTGGGACAGGACATACCAAGGGTTCAAGGCACAGCAGGGTGTGCTGTATGGGTGTAGGATAGCAGGTGTCCTAAGCAATGCACACCTGCTCTGGCCTCAGTCAGCTTCCCCTGTAGAATGAGATTATTGCACCTCCCCCACACAGCGGTGTTGAAGTTGTGGTGGCACTGTATCAAGAATCAGGAGGTGTTAGAGCTGAACATAGGGAACCCCTTTCTGGACTGAGATATGAATTTCTCAGGTTAGGGTTTCCGGAACTTCCAGGAGAAATAGCCTCATCATCAGGTATGTCCTCTGGTTATCTATCCCCCACCCCTACTATACCTCTGACTAGTCCCCAGTCCTGTTTGGGCCAGGGAGACGCTCCTATATTCCACTAGACAAGGCCCTCACAGTACCCCAGTTTCCTCATTGCGGCTTCCAGAGCCTTTCTGCCTTAGAGTTCCTGGGCTACCCTCCTTAGGCCCTCTGAGTCCCTGCCAGTTCCCAGTAGGTACTGTCCTGTAAGAGCACTGTGAGGTCAACCGCCTAGGAAAGCTGAGCCTGGGGGACAAAGGTGTCTCAGCCAATCTCCTCACCTTCCGACTCAGCTCTCCTGCCCTCCTGCCCCCAGGGATGGTGGTTCCTGAGTGGTACCCCTGGCCTCCTAGTACCTTCCTCTCCTGAGTGATGCCCCCAGTCTGACCGTGAACTCCTCCCTGTCCTGCAGGTCAGCCTCTAGCCCTTGCCCTCTGCCTGCCTCTCCATCCTCCCACATGGGCCCCTCCTAGCTGGACTGCTCCCCCAAGGCCCTTCCCCCTCCTCCCCCTCCCCACACCCAGGGGAAGCTGCTGGGGCTAATTATCCTGGAGATGATAATTATTCCACTGATAATCACAGGCTGTAGTACATCCCTCCCACCCCCGGCCTCATTTCTGCCCCCAAACCAGGTCACCAGGGTCAGGGTAGAGTGGGCTGAAGGGGTCAATCCATACATTCTGTCTTGCCCAAATCCTTCTTTTTTAGCACCTAGAGCCTTGCATTCCAGGAGTGCCTCATCCTGGGAAGAGAGGGGTGGGAAATGGGCCATCCTAACTAAATCCCAGGTCCCGGTGCCCACTAACTGGCTGTGCATCTCTGGCCTCTCAGTTGATTTTTGCAACTCCGCCCCCACCCTGCAAATAAGAGCCAGAAAGATACTAGGCACTGCCCGGGAAGAGCTTCTGAATCTGTCTGGGAATGAGCCTCCAACCTCACGCCCTGCAGCCCCGCTACCAGGCCAATACCCCAGAACCCCAGATTGTACCCTGTCTTGACTCAGGGCTGGCTTCACAAGCCCCATCCCCACAGCCTGCCTGCCACCCACCTATTGTGGCCAGAGCCTTACCCAGAGCAGCACACATGGCAGCCAGCATCAGCAACACCAGGAGGGGCCTCATCTTGGATGTCTACAGGCAACTGTGAGCCACCCGGGTAAGGGTGCCTTTATAAGGCCACTGGGTGCCTGAGGCCAAACCTGGTAATTTGGCTGGAGGATGAGCTTGGGATGGCCTGAATCATGTCCCCCAGGCTCCCTCTGCCCCACCCCCAGAGTCCCCCTCAACCGGTCCCTTGGTCCTGAGCCAGCAGCCTCCTCTTCCTGCAGCTGCTCTAGGCACAAGGAAGGGATCTGCAGTGACAGCTCTGTCTTGGAGTCTGAAGAGTGTAGCTCTGCCTGGGGGTCTGGAGACAGGTTCTTTGGAGTCTCACTGCCCCTCCCCTCTTCCTTCTTCCTATCAGGCAGCCAGGGAGGCACCAAATCCAGTTCAGTGGGGAAACTGAGGCACTGTGGACTGGAACTAGCTCTTCAGTCTCAGTGTGCACACAGTCACCTGGGAGCGGGGTCAAAAGGCTGATTCTGACTTGGACAGTAGGACTAAGGCTCTGCCTTCTTAGAGGCTGGTCTGGAGCAGGGAGCCTCACAGAGGCTAGATGAACAGACAGCCTGGTACACACTTCATCCCTGGGCCATGGTGCCTGGCACCTTGGGGGCTGCGCAGTCACTGGGGAGTCCAGTAGACACAAGAAATGACTTGTGCTTACATTAGTTATGAGGATCTTGCTGGGTGGCATCTGGGGTCTGAGGCTGAGAGGTGGGAGTTCACATCTCCTACTGTCTCTCTCATCCCCTCCAATGGCTCCTCCTACCCAGGCTCCCCCTGCCCAAGCCTCCCCCTGCCTAGGCCTCCCCTTCCCAAATTTCCCCGTGCCTACGACCCCCTTTCCAGGTCTCTCTCAGCCTAGGCCCCCCTTGCCCAGGGCTTCAGAGCCCTACTCAGACCCCCCCTTTCCAGGCCTCCCTCTGCCCAAGCTTCCTCCTACCCAGGCTTCACCCCACCTAAGCCTCTCCCTGCCCAGGAACCCCCTCCCCACCCAACCTCCCCCAGCCTAGCATCCCCCCCCACCTTTCCCAGGGTTCTAGAAGCCTGCTCAGACTCCCTCCCCCTGGCCCAGGCTTATCCCAGCCCAGACCTCCCCTTACCTAGGACTTGCTGATCTCCCCCAGCTTTAATCACCTGCTCAGGTAGACTGTTTCTCTCAGTCTTTGGCACAGGCTACCTCCAGATCCTAATCCAGGTCTAGCCTTGTACCCAGAGCACCCCACCTCAGGCAAGTTGCCTTTATCTAGACACTCTTCTTAACTCCTGCTGTCTGATCTGTGCCTAGGAAGTAATCGCAGGGGCTCTGAATCCTTTTACAAATGACTTCTGGGGACCAGCGACCTCTCTGTCACCACTGAGGCTGGATCAAGCTGCTGGGTGCCTCACTCCCTGTGAGTGGCAATGGGTAGTAGTCAAGTAGAGAGAAGGAGCTGCGGCTGCCAACCTTGGCAGCGGCTTCTGGGACAGGCTGGGGAGGGAGGATGGGTTCAGCTCCTGGGCCAGCATGAGAGAATTCCCATAGTTCCCAGTACCACAGCCATGGGGTCGGAAATTGACTTCACTCTAGGTGCTCCAGCAGGCTTCCATGACGTCCACCAGTCTCATCTGAGTATTTCTGATTCTTTTAGAACTTCCATGGTTTTGGACATGGGGCATGTATGTTCCCAGTTGCCTCAGCCTCCAAATGACAAGGAGGGACCCATCCTTGTCGAGAGGCTTCAGAGCGCCCCGCGAGGGGAGTAAGGACCTAGACTCTGGAGGCCCACTGCCCAGCTCTGTTCTGCTTACCCACTCTACCTGTGCATGCTCCCTCTGAAGTTGGGACCCCTAGGTGTGGAAGGGACGGGTAGTGAGCTCCAGGGCCCGCTGTGCCCAAGCAGTCCCAGCTCTTCCAGGTCCGGAGCTGGGGCATGACCTCTTTCAATGCCATCAAGCTCAGCCCAGGCCAGGGAGTCTTGTTGCTCTGTGGCAGGTCAGGCAGTAAGGGATGGTGTGATGGACCGAGACTGTCAAGGCTGGTGCTTGCCAGCAGTGCATGGACCCTGGGCAAAAGGAAAGGAGGAGACCCCATGTCCGCGTCCCC